CTGATTAAGAATCGAGATTAAATTTATCAAAATAAATGCATAAATCATATAAGGTATCTAAAACTTTCAAACTTAAAATTAACATTACTTTTTTACTTATTTAATTTATATGCCATATAAATAAAACTAAAATTAAAAATTCGAAAAGCGGATAGACTAAAATTTTATTAACGATTATATGTTAAAAGAAGAAAGACGGGGTAAAACGACTTAATAATAGCACGTTCAAAATTCTGATATTCAAAAAAAAATAAATAAAATGAGAAATTAAACGAAAAATGGTAAAATATGTGTTATCACGCAGTAGTAAAAGATAAAAAAAAAGGAAAGGAAAGGAAGGGAAAGAAAAAAAAAAGATAGAACATAAAATTAATATAATATTAATAATTTTCACATTAATAATTTCTTAAGTACATTACATGAGGAATAACGAATTTGCCGCATAAGGGATCAATTCCATTAGATGTTTAAATAAAAAATTTTCATTAGGAGAATGAATGATGGCTATGTTGTTGCAGAATTATTGAAGTTTGAACATTATTATCTTTAGCACTTGTAATGAGCGACTAAAATATTTTTTTTTGGTGTTAGATAGGTTATATTCACGATAACACTCCATCATGAGGTGCATTGACGATTAGACGATTACATTTGGCATTATAAGGATTTCTTTTTTTAAAAATCATGAGCTCATTCATACAAAAGAAATCAACTTCCAACACGCATTTTTAAAGGCCATTTAAATACTTATCATCAACAAATAAAGTCATTAAAAAAAAGGATACTATTATTATTATTATATTCGTATTTATAAGATAAAAAAGGTACTTTCAAAAAAAATTTGATTCCAAAATAAACAAAAATGGTCAAAATTTAATCATACGAATTACACGCGTGTTATTTATTTCTTTTCTTATTTGAAAGTGAATAGAAAATAAATTTTTTCATTTGTATTCATTACAAGTAACGAAATTGGCCAATTTTCATTCCGATTGATTATTCAAATTAAGAATTTATGTTTCAAATAATTAACTTTGTGCTTTTTAACAGTTTACATATTAATTATTGTTGGTTGATCCACATAAACTATTCCCATTTTGGGATATCTTATAATGCCTTAAGAAGGTTTGGCCAGCATTAGTCATCTGACGTACCATCGTACCTAAGGAACGATAAATGCATACCTAATGAACGATAAAACTATTTTAGCATGTCAACTGTCAGTTGACTCAAATCGACATCTGATGCACAACATATATATACCGAACCGATCGAGAATAGTTCCTATTTAAGCAGAGCGAAGACTTTCCTTATAGTTCGTTCGTTCTTGTCATTTTAGTGTAAAATTGAAAGTAAATCAAGGAGATATCGCTTATCATATTTATTGTTCTAAATTATTCTAAAATTAAAATTTTTGTTTGTTACCTCGTGTCGTTGCAATACATAAAAAAAAGTGGAGAAAGTCCATTATAATAAATCAAAAAAAATAATAATAAATATTTTTTCGCCATATTTTCCTCGATAATTTATAATAATATCGGTAATCCGAATCCTGTTTTAGAAAGGAGACTCATGTTGAAATTTCAGCAAGAAACAAAGAACCTTTACGTAAAGCGAAGACAGTTCGTTTCATAAATGTAAGAATCAATGTTGGAATCGAACCAACCAGAAAAACCAGAAATACTAGAAATTCTGTTCCATAATTGGGTAAAATACTGAACGAGACGCCTGCTTTTCATTAATAGTAAGAAAAACTCGAAGGAAATGAGGACGCCTCTATCCTTTTTCGGACTGTACAAAAAGAGAAGGATTAACTCTTTATAAAGAAAGTTTCAGACTCGGAGAGGCTCGGGTGTCTTTATATACAACGTCATCACCCTTCCTCCGGCTTATGCTCGATTATATTGAGCATTTTGAAAATAATATCTATCCCAAGGAAAAAGGTGCAAAGGTTTTTACCATAAAAATGGCGAAATATAACTAACTTAACGAAGAACCCAGCAAAAGAGTAAAGGAGGTCAAAGTAAACAAAAACGAGACTATATATACTTAATCAGGCTGTCACATATCAAAATCACCAAAAAATGTGATCATATGACTATTTCTAATATCTTATCAGTTATGAAATTTCTATACAACGCGAAGACGCGACAAGTTTATATGAAATCACAATATTATACACTTGAAACTCTGAACTTTAATTTGAAAAAATAATTGCTCATTTTATTAACAAAACTATTTAATGTTGATAAATGATAACAAATAAATTAATCAGGTCTAGGATATCTCGGTTTAATGAGTCACGTGACTAGACGACACTTTGAGCGATTTCCTATGATTTATAATTTCGTTTGCAATTCGTATATTATATCGAAACCTGTATAATATATTCATATCACTATGCATCTTACATGTTCTTTAGATCGTTCTGAAAATCCGTTCATTTATATAGATAAGTTTTCATGATTTACGATGAAGTTTCATCAAGTGATCGGTTACATGTGAATTGTTAAAAAATTCCGTTTGGTCAATTTGTAGGCACCTGACCTAAGCGCAATAAACATAAAATTTCGCCTTTTTTATAATAAAGTTTTACTACGCAGTCGCTCTCGTACAGCGAATCTTTAAAATTACACAGCTAGAACGAATCTAACATTTTGTAAAATGGTAGACAAAATTCATTATACAACATGAAGCCGAATTTCGTAAAGATTGTGCT